CATTTACAGTGTTTTCTTCATCATTTACATGTTTCACTTAAAATATTTACATGTTATTTACATGAAACCTGCAAAACATGTAAAAGGGGAAAAATCATGTAAATTATTCTTTACAGTCTTTTTTTGGTTATTTACATGTTAATTACATGTTATTTACATACTCTGTAAATTTTCAACTTTTCCATCATGAGCGGATTATCAAAGAAAAAGTTTTAAATTAAAGTTACGGAGGCTTTATATCATGAGTGGATCAACAAAGAAGAAGTTTTAAAGTTTTTGAGTCTATATATCATGAGTGGATCACCAAAGAAGAAGTTTTAAAGTTTTTGAGTCTATATCATGAGTGGATCACCAAAGAAAAAGGTTTAAAGTTACGGAGTCTATATATATCATGTGTGGATCAGCAAAGAAGAAGTTTTAAAGTTACGGAGTCTATATGTCATGAGTGGATCACCGAAAAAAAAGGTTTAAAGTTACGGAGTCTATATATCATATGTGGATCACGAGAGAAAAAGTTTTAAAGTTGCGGAGTCTATAGGTCATGATTGCATCACTAAAAGAGAAGTTTTAAATTTGCAGAATCTATATGTCATCTGTGGATCACTAAAGGAGAAGTTTAAAAGGTGCAGAGTCTCTATATTTTATGTGTGGATCACCAAAGAAGAAGTTTTAAAGTTGCGGAGTCTATATATCGTGTGTGGATCACCAAAGAAGAAGTTTTAAAGTTACGGAGTCTATATATCATGTGTGGATCACCAAAAAAAGTTTTAAATTTGCGGAGTCTATATTTCATGTGTGGATCACGAAGGAAGAAGTTTTAAAGGTGCAGAGTCTATTTATCATGTGTGGATCACCAAAGAAGAAGTTTTAAAGGTTGGAGTCCATATATCATGTGTGGATCACCAAAGAAGAACTTTTAAAGTTGGTCAGTCTATATATCATGTGTGGTTCACGAAGGAAGAAGTTTTAAAGTTGCGGAGTCTATAAATCATGTGTAGATCACCAAGGAAGTAGTTTTAAACTTGTGTTGTCTAAGTATTATTTGTTTATCACCAGAGAAGAGGTTTTGAAGTTGCCAAGTTTATATGTCATGAGTTGATAGCCAAAGAAGACTTTTTAAAGTTGCGGAGTCTATATATCATTTGTGGATCATGAAAGAAGAAGTTTTGAATTTGCGTTGTGTATATATCATGTGTGGATCACCAGAGAAGAAGTTTAAAAGTTGGGTTGTCTATATATCATGTGCGGATCACTAAAGAAGAAGAAGTTTTAAAGTNTACATGTTATTTACATGATCTTAGCCCTTTGCTTTGAAACATTTACAGTGTTTTCTTTATCATTTACATGTTTCACTTAAAATATTTACATGTTATTTACATGAAACCTCCAAAACATGTTAAAGGGGAAAAATCATGTAAATTATTCTTTACAGTCTTTTTTTGGTTATTTACATGTTAATTACATGTTATTTACATACTCTGTAAATTTTCAACTTTTCCAGTGACGTTTGTTTGTTTGTTTTTTTGTGTGAAAAAATTAAATAATTAAATAATAAGAGTGCTCTAAAGTTGGGGATCACCCAACCCAATTTTGAATTATAAGCATTTAAAGCTTAAACTTAACAAGGATGGTAGTATTGATACATTAAAGTAGAAGAGCTAAAAAAGCAGCAAACTATTGTTGGCCACCTTAAAAGAGCAGTATATTAAGCGGCCATTTCTCCGATGTGCGAAGTTACTTTTAAGTCGAAGAAATCTCCAAGTTATCAGTATCTAAGTTAGTAGAGGACTGTGTAAGATTAAAGACAGATTGTAAACTGCGAAAATTTGAAAGTAAAATGCCCGAATTAAATTTCTGACTTAACTCAGAATAATAGCTTTTATTGTTAGGCCGTTCGAGTGGACCCGTTGCTGTCCTCGATCCTCTCACCAGCTTTACAGAGGAGCAGTCGTCGAAATTCTCGCCTAAAGAGGGGATTCATTCCTGCAGATGAAAGGATTTAGGGTGCATGACATATTGACGAGGAAAGTACATAACAACTGGATATCTCGTGGCATTCTGGCTATGACATGGAAGCGCGCTAAAATGGCAATGACCCACGCGGGTATCCAACACAGCATAAACGCGAAAACGATGACAACCAGAGATCTGCAAATAAGAGTTTCATGTGTGCTGACCCCCGTCACATCCCGATTGTTGCTTGGAAGAGATTGTAACACTCCCATATTGTATTTCCGGATGTGTTTTGAAACCTTCCTGTAGCTGAATACAATAACAATTAGCGGGAAGAGTAAAAACAAGCCAACGACAAGAAAGTAACGGACAATGTTGCCAAATTCTCGTAGATGTACGTTCATGCACACTGCATAGCCAGGCACGAAGTGAAAATCTTGTAAGCCCGTAAGACGCACGGTCAAAATGTAACAGGCAACAAACATCCACGCGGAAACGATTAAAATGAGAGATTTTCTGTTCGGAAAGAATCTCTTATATTGTTGATCCGACTTGCATATTCTCACATATCTGTTAATTGCCGTCAAACCCATGGTAATAGGTGAAACATAGACGACAAATTGGGCCATGAAGGCGTGCATCTGGCAAACTGTTCCTCCAAAAGGCCATCTGCCTGAAATAAGCACCCCGGTAGCCAGAGGCATAACAAAAATGGCGGACAACAAATCGCTGATGGCCAAAGCGACATTGTAGACGTTGGTCGAGGTACGAAGTCTTGTATTTCTGTAAACAGAGATACAGACTAAAACATTTCCCAACAGGGATAACACATTTAATAAAATCATAAAGCTGGCTTCCAAGACGGTCCAAAAAACACTTCGTAAGTTAAGCTCGTCAGCCATACCGCCAAAAAAGTTAGAGTGAGTTGCAAAATGACATTGTCTTCTTTGTTTAGCAAGTCGTGATCACGTTCGGTTGTCAAAGAAATCATATGTGATTAAGTTTTGACGGACTGTATGTGTACAAAACACATCAATCTCTCATTTTAGCTGTTATTTTGTTTGTTCGCAAAGAAACAAATTAGTTTGATATGTGAAAGAGGTAGTAAATATTTTTGCCCACAAGACCTCCGGGAGTCGAGTTTTTGGAATTAATGCTCTTTCAACATATCTGAACGAAAAAAATTGTATTTTAGAGTTTTTTTTTTTTTTTTTTAAAGAGGCGAGAAGCAACAAAATTTTACATAACTTGAACTTCAAGGCGTTATCCGCTCAAATCAGCTCCGCTAAAAGCAGATGGTTTCGAACTTTGTTGTTGTTGTTGTTTTTTTTTGTCGAAATCCTGAGCGAATTTTGTAAATTTTTTTAGATATTTCAATGCATCTTTAGTTTTCTTTTTCTTTTTTTTTTAACTTATTTACTTGAGGAAGGTACTCGAGGAAGCTGTGGCCTTAAGGCTCGCTCACTCGTGTTCCTTTATTGCCCTAAAGAAACTCAGAAAATGCTTTTCATTTCTAAAAAAGCTAATTGCAAATCAATTGGAGGATAAAATTTTGAAATGCCTTAAGTACTTTCTGTTCTCTGAATTACAATTAAGAACTGATTCATAGCAAAATAAGAACTTTAATTCGATCATACTTTTAAAGGTCATTTGAGAACCCTCTAGGAAACTTTGTTTTCAAAATGGCAGTAGGAGTAAACTTAGTTTCTATATATGCCTGATTTTTGTGAATGTATTCTCAGGGCATTAAGTCATCTCTGAATATTTAATTTTTGAGCGCAGTAACCTTCAGGATCCCTAAACATCTGATACAGAAACCACTTGGAAAGTGATTATCTTATTCCCTTAGCAAAAACAAAAGTTGCTCAATGATACAAGTGAAAGAAAGTAAAAGAAGAAACACGGAAGAGCATCTAACGATGGTTTTAGGATATCTGATATTTCTAACAGTCTCCTAGATTTAACGATCTCGATCTTACCATTTCGTGAAAGTACAAGAAGAAAGGCTTTTGTTAGGGTTACACGTTAGCTAGAGTTTATAAAACAATTATATAGCTATTGTATCAGTGTTATTTCCCTACTTTAAATTGTAGCAAATGTTTTGGCTACAATAATCTATTCAAATGGTTGCTTGGGATTTTAACCGGAAAGATAGAGTGTTACGAAAAATTGTCTAAGTCTNAAAACAAGCCAACGACAAGAAAGTAATGGACAATTTTGCCAAATTCTCGTAGATGTACGTTCATGCATACTGCATAGCCAGGCACGAAGTGAAACTCTTTTAAGCCCGTAAGACGCACGGTCAAAATATAACAAGCAACAAACATCCATGCGGAAACGATTAAAATGAGAGATTTTCTCTTCGAAAAGAATCTCTCATATTGTTGATCCGACTTGCATATTCTCACATATCTGTTAATTGCCGTCAAACCCATGGTAACAGGTGAAACATAGACGACAAATTGGGCCATGAAGGCGTGCATCTGGCAAACTGTTCCTCCAAAAGACCATCTGCCTGAAATAAGCACCCCGATAGCCAGAGACATAACAAAAATGGCGGACAACAAATCGCTGATGGCCAAAGCGACAATTTAGACGTTGGTCGAGGTACGAAGTCTTGTATTTCTGTAAACAGAGATACAGACTAAAACATTTCCTAACAGGGATAACACATTTAACAAAATCATAAAGCTGGCTTCCAAGACGGTCAAAAACACGCTTCGTGAATTAAGCTCGTCAGCCATACCGCCAAAAATGGTAGAGTGAGTTGCAAAATGACGTTTTCTTCTTTGTTTAGCAAGTCGTGATCACGTTCGGTTGTCAAAGAAATATTATAAATTTTTGACGGACTTTATGTATACAGAAGATATTAATCTCCCATTTTAGTTGTTATTTTGTTTGTTCGCAAAGAAACAAATTACTTTGATATGTTTGCTTAAACTGATAATCGTCCAAGTTAATAAAGAATATGAGTTGCTCAGGTCAGTTCACGGACAATTTTTTGAATTTTCCTGAAAGCTGCCATCCTGCTATTAAAATTTTCTTTACAGTTTTCTCGTCATCTTTAAGCCAGATTGCAAAGAAACTTAACTAATGTTTTTTTTGTTGTTGTTTTTTTGTTTTGTTTTGTTTTGTTTTTATAGCAAACACCTTACTATTTGAACAGTTGTGATTGTGACTTGCAATTTTAGTTGTATTTGTTACATACTGCTTATAAAAGATAAAACACATAAAATTCAATTCAAAGGAAAAAAAAAATAATTCCCCAAAAAATACAAGATCACTGTAAAATCTGCAATGCGGCAAAAATTAAATAGAATATGATTTTGAGTCATGTTTTTTCCTTTAAAGTAAAATTGGTATCTTTTATAAATATTTACAAGTGATAAACGTATCTGGCAGTCAGAACTTAATCTCAGATTATTGCATTTCTAGCTTTCTGATTGGCTTACACTCCGTTTAACACTGAACAAATAGCTGGCCTCTCACTTATTGCCGGAAAATGAATACACTTGCGCCTCCTCGACAAAACCTCGCTAAAATCAAGAACTAAGAGGGAATTTTTCTAAAAAAAGCTTCATTTATAATTTTTCTGAGCAATGCAAAAAGTTCGAAGCGAAGAATCGAATGGAAAATCGCTCTTCAAGACCAAAAGTGACAGAATGGGCAAAAATGCCCATGTACAACAGAACTTTATAAAAAGTAAATCCTTGCTCCTCAATTGAGTCAGTGATACTCATACTAGTTCTGGTAACACACCAAATGTAATTCGGGCGATTCAAATTCTCATCCCTCGTCGTGCCCCGCAGGACACCTAAGGCCATTCAGAAATGCCCTCCACCCATCTACAATCTCCGACAAAGTCTTGGCATACCTTCCCACTCTTCCAATATCTGTCAGGGCAATTTATCAGTTCGCCCCCTT